CAAGAGAAATGTTGACCGATGAGCAAATTATAGACTCCGTAAGCGCATCTACAGCTTTAAGCGATAATGAGAAAGATGACGATTTAGGTGAAACGTATTCTACTGTAGACACTAATGCTGTTCCAACCATTTCTCAAATGACAAAAAAAGTGTCAGAAACTCGGAACTTTCTACAATCACGCCAAGTTCCTAATCATATCTGGGAGTCCTTTTGTGATCTTGAAAACTACATAAATAACATCTATTTTTGCAGCAGAAATGGACAAACAAAAATTACAGACTATGAAGTAGATTTCAAATTGAATTTTGTTTATCTTTTTGTGTTCTTTTTAGTCACACCTACTAACTTCTACTACTCTATGTAAAAATAACGAAATAAAATACCCCACGTGTTTTTGTATTATTATTCGCTTATAGCGAACTCCGTATATAACGAACCAGTTTTAGTTAATTTTTCAAGTTCGTTATATCCGGACTCAAGTGTAGTAACTAACTAAGAAACCAAACCAGTAATTTAAATTATATGTAATTAAAACAGTAAGTACAAATTTTGTTTTAGCTTTATATGATGTGGAAAGTAGGACTTTGCACAAGTCCATTGTGGGGCTCTGCATTATACAATAAAGGATATTTTCAACTGCAAGAGCTTCCTTTTATCGCAAAATGTGCAACGGGAGTCGGGGTTATATTAGTCATTTCGTTCTGTATAAGAGGGTTAAGTAGAGCAAAGAATCCGGCTTACTTAAAATTCCTAGACGTCCTACAAAGAGCTGAAAATGATATGGTTGCTACCAAGCCGGAATTAATGAAATATGACTTCGAATTTAAGTCTTGGCCTGTTGAATATGATTTAAGTGACACTAAAAGGTTGGAAGTTATAAAAATTAAATGGAAGTTCAAACGTTTTCCGCGTGTGTATTTGCAGTCCAACTCCAAAAGCCAGTCCAAGAGTCGCTGTGCCTCAGGGGGCGTTTCAGAACATTGTCTCTATTCCATTTCGAGTTATTGCATACTTGGCCATACACACCTTTGGGATCAGATTAATCTATCCCGGGGTACTTGGAGTGCTGCAAGCCGTTCTAGGTACTTAAATTAATTTGTTTGCATAACCGATTGCTACATTTTTGAGTTCCGAATTTGTTTACAGAAAAGGGCTTATTGAAAGGTAGAACTCGCCTTATAGAGGTTTATGCAGGGCAAAGATATAAGCTAAAAACAGTAGATGGAAACAGCATAGATACCATGGTTTTAGACAGGCGAAGTTCCTACGCAAATGGAGATACTTTAGTGATTTGTTGCGAAGGAAATGCTGGATTCTATGAAATCGGTACAGTGATAACTCCGATCGAGGCTGGTTACTCAGTCATCGGATGGAATCATCCGGGCTTTGGAGGAAGCACAGTCAGTTTGAACTTTGAGCAAATATTCGCCACTTTTTCAGCCACTTTATTTTACTTAGGGAATGCCATATCCTGCACAGGAGCAAAATGCTATAGATGCTGTAATTCAGTTTGCCATCAACATATTGGGATTCAAAGTAGAGAACATCATGCTTTTCGGTTGGAGTATCGGAGGCTATGCGGTTTCTTGGGCAGCAATGACTTATCCAGACATCAAATCAGTGGTGAGCAATAATACCCGCTTTCTTTAGCTTTTCTAAAAATGTCTATATGTTCTACATGTCCCAAAAACATCCAGTAGACATATGAAAAGCTATAAACTTTCGAGGCAATTGCTTGAAACTAAACTACTAACGTATTTGTTGTGCCGAGACTGGTTTTTGGGCTTATGGCGTTATTTGTTGTTTGCTAATTGTTTAAATAATCATAGAAAGTGCAAACACGGGGTTTTGCGCACAACTTTTGAACCGTTGATGCAATCAAATTTAAATTTAACACTTTTTCAAGTATTGAAAACACCTACAATATGAGACAAAAACTATCAGAAAATCAGTTCATTTGTTTACTCAAAAACGCAAAAACTGTCGATTTTAGCGTTTTTTTAGTTTTATAAAATCTGTTTAGTTTTGCTGCTAAGAAATCGCACTCTATCTTTTTGTGGACGCCTTTGCACACTTTATAAGCTTAAAATATTCATATCTGTTTGTTCATTCCTAGTATGTAAAATAGGCTCTTGTCAGATAAGGGTATTTTACTCGTAAAGAGCTAAACTACAACGTACAATCAGGGGCGGATCCAGCTTTAAATTCAGGGGGGGATTATGTAGAAAAAATACAGTCTTCTGTTGTCTATGAAATTAGAAAAATTATCGTCGTTTTGTGCAAGGGTGGCGTAAGATTATTGCAAA